TTTCTTTTTCAGAAAACTTAAATTGCTATAAGAGTTGATTGCGATCACCAAATTCAATCGGTGCTACATGATAAATGAAAACATGCATTTGCTTGATTTAGAAAAGCCTGTTGAATGTGCTAACTGCTCTTCCAGTTATTTATGTATGTTAATTTTATAACATATTTTTTTTAAGCCTAATAATAACAAACTATATATTCGTAACAAAAGAGTTTACCAAATACATCTTCATTTATGTGTCTCCTATTACTAAATCACTTTCCATAAATTTGTAATAAATAAATTCCAAGCAAAATTATTCTCCGACAATTGTCAGAACTCTTTACAACGAAATGTCTCATTTAACACGTTGCCATCAGTACAGAATCCAGGCGGGTCGATTGAGCCTACCCGGGCTAGATTCGCCGCTCCAGCCATACCTACCTCGCATTTGTTACCGAGGTAAACGAAAATAAATCTTATGCATTTAGTTATAAAACATCAATTTACGTGCCGTTAAATTACTAATGCTTTCTCATATTTGCTGGTGTATTTTGCTGTTTGCAAGTTTATGACCCTTGTAAAAAGTGTATCTGTCTCTATGATCTGTTGATAAATGTTTTTGTTTCAACTTGGTATTCTAACTTGAAAATATCAACGAAATTTATATGACTGACTTGATTGCAGCACGCAAAGGGTCATTGAAATAATATACTTTAAAGAAACAAAATAATTCAATTGCAGTGTTGATAAATGCTTAAAAAAGTATTTATTCTAAGTTCAAAAACATTCTTTGTACCGACATTTTTTTGCAATAGTAAAAAATGTAATACAAACTTTTTTTATATTGCAATAAACATTCACGCTATTTGCGAGGTAAAGACTCATTCGTTCATCAACGAATAATATGACTGCAACATTAGGAATGAAATAATAGGTATTTAAATTAGTATTATTTATTAGATAATCACTCGTACCCTACCAATGTGTAGACTGATTATTAATAACAATAGAAACCCGACATTTTAAAAGTAGGTCAACCACAATCAATTCAACACCAATATTTATATAGCTTTGTTCATTTACAACAGTATATGCTGATGAGACTCAGAATATTCTTCATTCATTCTGACGTGTCTATTACCAAACATGAAACATATTACCAGTTGATTTAGTTTATTTTCTGAGGCTAAACATTGTTTTGTCGTGAAAAATGCAGTAGAATAGTGATGTGACTCGTCTACTGTAGAATAGTGATGGGAAGCCGTGATTTACTCGATTAGCTCAAGTGAATTTATCAAACTTGTACTCGATTAAAAAATATTTCAACAGTCTCTATTTTACTTAACTAAACCACATTATTTTTTAACTTCGGTGATTACTTAAATAAATTATATGTAAAACCTCGTAATTTTTTTTATGTGTACCCATTTTATTTCATATTACTCTATTCATGACAATTATACTATTTTAATATATTGTATAAAATTGCTTACATATAGAAATCTCATTCGAATTGCAAACTTGCAACTCGAGTGAATCCAGTTTTGGCGTTTTTTTTGCTTGAGTGACTATTCACATCACTACAGTAGAACCCTATTATATGTCTCCGTTTATTTTCTAACATATTAATGATCCTAATATTATAAAGGAAAAAGATTTAATTGTTAATTTATTTGTTTGTATGCTTCGAATAGGCTCCGAATCTACAAAAGCGATTTTTAAAACTTACGAAAAGCTAAATTAAAATATATGCGGGCCAAGTCGCGGGAAAACAGCTAGATTTATGTAAATTTTAAAATTATACTCATAAAAAAACAAATAAAATCGTCTGCAGTTGCAGTCACAGTCTTAATATCCTAAAAGCATTTTATGTTTTGAAGCGATACGGTATGAGAAATATGACCTAATATAAAAATGATATCTGTATGCTGAATAAAACTTTATGGAACAAATATACATTCTCACATTAATAGCTTCTGAACAATTAATTTTTAATCTCTTCAAATATATTTGTAAAAAATATTTGTTTTGAATTTTAAATAATTGGTTTCCAAATCAAGTTTATTTATTTTAGACTTTTTTGCGTTATATATTTTATTTTGTAGTTTCAAAATCCACATTCGATTGCTATTCTCTATATCTTAATTCTTTTTGTTTATCTTCGTATGGAAATATAATTACAGAAAAAAGTAGACATATTATGGTCACCTTAAATTGAAAACGGGCTTTTTAATTCATACTGATTCCAAATTTTACTGGGAGTGATCAATTTGACTCATCTAATTAGAGAAATAAATCTAAAATACAATTTAAAACTGTAAATATTTTTTTCCCTGCTTCAGTATTTCCCTCAAAATTGTACTGTAAATAATAAAGTTTTAAAGTTAAGAACTGCCGAAACTTCTAACGATAAATATAAAATTAGGCCTCGCTTGTCAAGCTGGAACTGGCGTTTTGAAATAGCATTTTTCATTGGCAAATTCAACATTGTAATTGGAGTTGACGGACAATTTTGTGCAGCAAACTTTTATTGAAGTTAGAAGGAGGTATGGTTTCTTGATGTACTAGACAAGCTGTATACAAACTGTAACCCGCGGCTTCGCCCACGTGATCCGGGAATATTGTGTATACACTGGCCTGCTAAAATGGAGACTTAAGTTAATCTTTAATTAAAAATCTGTCATTGACTCTGATATCATCATCATAAGCTTATTAACGTCCCCACTGCTGGGGCATAGGCGTGGTCCAATAGCTGGAACCGATTAAGGTAAATCTACCGCTATATTCGTGTATAATGCGCACGTCTTCATATAATAGTCCAGTTTGCTCTTCTTTTGCAAAAAGTACAAACAAATTTTTATTTTTAAATAGTCATTTTATAGAATTTTTAGTTTATGGAATAAATACTTCGTTATTTTGCTTAAATCTAATTATTTGACTATATATTTGACTACCTACTGTGCTTATTCTGGACTTTCATATAAAAACCTTCATTATAAGGGTTTAAAACAACCTGATGCTTTATTTGTGCAAGATTCTACGCCTGATCCTTATAGCAACTTGACGGTCAGCTTGTTCTTACTTTCTCAAATCAGCATTTTCAAAGATTTTAGTGTGTGACGGTAAATAAAATTTTGCCAACGGATATTCTGCCGTCTCTTCAATTTATAGGTATCAAACGAATCTAGTTTAGTCCCTCAGTATTTTTTTCGTCCAAACTATTATTTAATTCTGATACTTAAAAAAAAAAATCTTACCATTAGTAGCTCATTTCAAGTATTTTATGATTTTTAGTCATTTATAATTATCCGGTGGTTTAGTACATTTTACCGAAAATATAATGCCACTTGGTAAATATTAAAACACGAGATTTTTTAATAGTCACCCCATATATTATATTATCGTCTGATGAATATTTCTCCAATAACATGTACGTATTATTAAAAATAAACCGGGTAAGCGCAACATCACATACATTGCTCATATTCCAAGATGTTAGCTAAAGCCCCCGGAGTATCCGAGACAACAAAGGTACCACAACACCCAGACCCGAGACAATATAGAAAAGTTCATTTTCTACATCGACCCGACCGTGAATCGAACCCGGGACCTCAGAGATGGCGACACCTTGAAACCGGCGTGCGAACCACTCGGCTACGGACGTCGTCTTATAGATATAAGATAGACCTATGCTGTTACGGACTTTCTTTTAGAAATTCATATAATATATGATTTTTACGTATCTTTCACCGTTTTCCCAGCGCACATAAGGAAAGCTCTCAAAAAGTAAAATATTCTCCCCTTTTGCGACATAGTTCATTGCTGCTCTACTCCTATTAGTCATAGGATATTTTATAGCCTATCCTTGATAAATTGACAATTCAACCCCGAAAGGAAAATAATAATTAAATTCGAACCAATACTTCCTGCGATTATAAAGTTCAATAAAAACAAACAAACTCATCAGCTTTATTATTAGTATAGATAATAAGTAAATTGATATAGGAAATGTGGTATGTTGTAATTGGATATGATTATATAATATGTCGGTTACTGTGTATGCATATCTATACTAATATTATGAAGAGGAAACATATGAATTAAAACGTTGCTATAGTAAGCATTGTTTACTATACGTTTTATCATTATAATTATATCCGTGTTATGATATGAATTGATATCCAAATAAACAATTCCCTGAGACCACGCGGGCAAAGCCGCTAGCGGAAAGCTAGTTAAACATATAACAAGCAAATGTTTATAGAATCATTACACAGTTGTGTTTCCCTTGGAAAAGCGTTGGATATTTTTCACCCAGAAAGTTTTTTTTACGCAATAGGCTTAGGGTAAAAAATGATGAGCAATGTCTACTGAAGAATTCACTAGAGGGTGAAATTTTAACGGCTCACTCGGTACTGAAAAAGTAATTTTCTGTTTCTATGGTATTAATGCACATACGGCCGAGTTCTGAAATGAGAAAAGTACATAATCTGAACGAATATTCTCTTAAGTTTTTTACGTTTCACAAATCAAAAAGTCCTAGTTTTATCGAACCGTTATCAACTGATTATTAAAATAACTAAAACCAGAGACGAAATTGTAGTACAGTGTGAAACGTGATTCAATTTAAAATTCAATTCAGAAGCTGGGTGTATTAATTAAAACGTAATTTAGTGATTAAAAATAGTATTTAATTTATATAGACCAGTGAATATTATATTCATTATCAGTGCTTCAGTTATGATGTAATCAGACAAATAAATAGAAGCCATTGTTAAACACCTGCCGGTTATATTGTTTTCAGCAAAGATTAATTGCGTATCTGTTTAATATTGTGTATCATACCTATTCATTAATTTTACGTATTTATACTCTATAATGACATGTTACTATCTTCAAGTAAGAACTGTGAAGATCGAGCGAGCAGTACATCCAAAATTTTAGAGAATCAAAACTTTGTTTAAATCGAAATGAATTATGATTACTCTCCATACTGGATGAGATACGCTATTTTATTATTATGCCGGGTTACGTCTCCAAATATATTCAACTGGCCATAAAATAATACATGGCAAACAGCACGTAGACAACGCGTAGAAAGCCGGCACGTAATCTTGGCATTCGTCTTTTATTAAACCTAGAAACAAAACAAAAACAGTTATTATGATTCTTTTGCGAGGAACCCACTATATGTACATACAACATTTCATATTTATTTATATATATTCACCACTAACATAAACATAGACATTTCACGTTCACGTAAAGAGTTCATGATCATAGATTATTGAAACACTGGCAATTACAAAAAGAGTAATAATAAAAAGAATATACATAAATTGATATATACTCTCTATTCGAATAATTTTCTGAATTTGTTTCAATATTATATTTTTAAGACTGAAAGCTAGAAAAAGTGTATATATAAATTTTATTGAATTGTGTTTGTAAGATAGTGAATATATTTAGTTATTTTTAAATCGTATACATTATTGAGAGATTTATTTTCGTCATCGCTACTGCCATACTTTTTTTAAATTTTATCTCATCAAAAACATAACATGTACAAATATGCGTGCTCGACTTGGCGGACAGTTTCGTGCCCCCAGATCATAAAATTGGAAGCGTAAAAAAAAGGGATAAATTTTTGGCCAAATCAATACATAACGGCAATACGTTGAAATGGTCATGACGTTACAGCTTTGTCCATTTTCTACAATGTTGTAACGTAGCAAGCTTCCACTTCTAAACTTTCATGCCTATTTATTATCTTTGCCATTTCTTGTTATATTGAAGCAAAAAAATACTTCTCTAATATTTTTATATTATCTGACTGACAGACTAAATTTAATGACTTTTTTTAGCCACTTTTTTACGCATATTATCTTTATTTTCTGTAAATACTTCATTAAAAAAAATTGTTCAACATTTTACTTGGAAACTATAATTGGAAACGGTACCTATTAAAGGTGAAGCCATTAGGTTGACCAGTCCACTGGTTAACATGAACATGGAATAAGCAGCAGGGAAATCATCGTGGGGCACATAATTGGAGATCACTAGAGGGCTGGCGATGTGTAACCATGATCTTAATACACCAAGTACAGTAATTGAAGAAACTATCCATATAAGTTGATCGACTTGAAGTATTACTGCGATAAAAATAAATAATTAAATAATATGATTAAAAATAAGAAATACCTAGTTAATATGATGCATTCGATAAGAAGTATTCAAATTACTTTCATCCAGAACTACGTGCGGTTACACGCGATTCATTATTACATTACATACGTTGGTAAGAATAGTGTTTCAAATTAATCAAACGTTTGCAGTCTTGAACTTGACACCGCATCTGATTATGTTCATTCTGGACAAGCTCTTAGCAATGGGTAAATTTTAATTCCTGACTATTGATTATTGGGTAAAACAATGTATAATTTACGCTAACAGCGACTACTTTCTATATAACAATTGTAAAATAAGTACTATAAAATAATGTACTGAAAGATAATATTCACAAACCTATTCTAAAGATGAAGGTTAAAACAGTACCAACATAGTACAATAATCTTGTGTTTACTGATGTAAAACTACTAATAATCGTTAGAGCACATCGACCTACTACGTCAGCCGCAACTCCAACTGATATGCACGTCGCAACTTCAGTCTAAAATGATAAAATATATATTAATACCTATATATAAATATGGCCCAGCAAAGAGACAAACAAGTGTAATCCTAACCGGGTTATATCCATATTGGAATAATAACATTGGTTGGATAATGAAGAATGTTAGATCAGAGAAGTTCATAAAACTTTGACCCATACAGATATTGATGTAGACAGGATCTTTCAACAGTTTTAAACACAAAATCTCATTCAGCCAGTATCTGTAAAGATAAAGAAGTTCATTAGCTTCCGATATCAGGAATGAGGTTTATGTTAAAAAAAGTATAAACTGACCTGAGTTTCTCAACTTTATGTGTTTCATTACAGTTATTGTTATCAATATGTTTCAGCAAATCAATATTTTCCTCGGCTTTATCAATAGTACCTCTTTCTATCGTATCTGTAAATATCGAATCTATTGCATTTCGACTAATTCCATTTCCACAGTCAAAACCGACTAGTTAAAAGACTGAACTTATACTTGCTGATCTTATTTCTGCAGATTTATTAGATCTAGTTTTCATAACAGCGATTCCAGGGAAAGTATGTAGGGATATTGCACTTATAATTAACAGAGTGCCTCTGAAACCATACATTGTAATAATCCTCTTCATTAGTTGTGGGTACCACATCAAAATTATTCCTTGTCCTGATTTGCACGCGCTCATGACAGTAGTTCTTTTCGTAACAAAATAATGATTGAGCGTTGAATACAAAACTGGGACCATTATCCCAAAACCTATTCCCTGTAGTAAACCAAACGTTAAAGGTAGTATATTTGTATTGTTGATAAATATTGTGGAGAATGATCCGATGCAGAAAATCGAAGCTCCAATAAACCCACCTGTTCTCAGTGGATATTTTTTCGATATAACATTGAGAATCAACCCTGAAGGAAAGAAGGGAATAAAAATTATTAAAGTAAAAGAATATGAGGACACCAAGGCATCACTGAAGAATAATACTTAAGTTATCATTGTATACCGAATAAAGATAATTTCCTGCCTTCTAATAATTATAATAATTATTATTAAAGAACGTATCCAATTGATAAATCAATGACTTTTAAAACCTGACATTAGCATATGTTAACAGAACTTACCTCCGATAGCTAACATCATTCCAAAAACTCCATGAGCTGTCGTCAAGGACTTAGCTGTTGATTTAGTTTCGATCATGAAATCATTGTATATCAAACCGAATGAATTGATATGACCGATACCGGCTATCTGAAAATTACGAAACTTTATCTTTATTCACGTTTCTAAATTTAAAAAAGGTACCAATTTTAAATAACTTCTGCCCAAAATATTAGTTTAATAAATATTAAACAAATATCTTAGTACTTAGTAGTTGGTCGTAAATTTTAGAGACATATTAAATTTTTACTTATCTCCATTTCAAAGACTTAATTTGTAGCTTATATTTCGCTTTTTAAATTCTTCTTAATATAGTACTATTATTATAACATAATGTAACCGATTTACTTTATTGACATTTCTTTTGATATCTAGGAAGTTTTACTGTGAAAGAATCAAAACCGATTCCAAATAAATGTATCTTACTGTATCTGACATGTTTGGTCTCCACACAAAAGATAATTTCTTATGATGGGAAAATAAAACACATGATTGAATATCTTCTTATGAGTGTAAGCCGTAATTGAAAAAGGAAATTATTATGATACTTAGTCTGATTAAGAAAGGCCACCGAATGGTTTTTTTCGATGGAATAGTTACGGCTGTTATTTACGTGTTTCCTTTCAATTCGAAATTTTACTTCTTTACTATAGTGATAATTTATGAATTTCTGAGTCAATCTGTAGCCGTTGGCCATACGGAGGATCTTATAGTTAATTAAATTACCAAACATCCATTACAGAAGTACCTATATTGCTTTTACAAATAACAACATGTGTTTCCATCGTGAAACTGATATTATTATCGTTTAATTTTTCTAATATCCTAATATGATAAAGAGATTTACTACAATGCAATTATGGGGCACAGATTTATAGAATCGGAAACTCTTACACTTATTTATTGTTAAAAGAGTATTTACGTGAAAATATTTTATTGCACTTCCTAATCTCTCCGTATATTATTAACATCGCCTCCACTGCCACAACATCTATTAATACTCTTATTAATCGACCAGTATTTTTAGACGCTTTGGCCGTGCATGTGATGTTTATTATACAGGATGACAAATGAATCAATATGTATGATATATATTTTTAGTAATAAAAGCATTAATAACACAACTTTTCCAGCGTAATTCCAAAAAGGTCTAAATAAACAATATACTTACAAATGTAATGATGACGCCGAAACAAACCACGTATCCCCAGCCTCCTTCGGGCACTTTATATCCTTTATCTTTCTCCATTGTATGATATATGAACTGAACTAAGTAGTAGCGGACACTAAACTGGATTGTATATGAAGGGTCACAGAGCGGAAATCCTATATATATAAGATTGTCTATTAGCAATGAACGATTTATTCCATTAAACAACAATACTACTTTGTTCAGAGCCGTATTTATTGATACTGCGACAGGACTCGGCTTAGTCCGCATATCTTTTATGTTTACTTATGTAGATATGTGCGCACCTTTATGCAATGATATCGTTGTCTTTATTATCTGAATAGTAGAAATGATAACGGCCTGTGTTTTAGCCTCTGATAATTTGCCAGCTGACTGCAGATAGCTATCGGTTATAATGTGAAATTGAATGTTTTTATTTTGTTGTTTATATATTATTTTTTGTACGGGAAAATACAGCTCATAATTTTATCTTTAGATCTATTAGATCAAACGCTTAAATAATTTATAGGTATATTGTTATTCATCCTTGTCATAAGTTATCTTGATGGCTCAAACAAAATCGGAAGTCAATTAAATTTTACAATTATAGTGCCATGATAAATCAAAAATAAATTAATTTTATTGTATTTAAATCATTTTGTTTTTGATTACAGGTAAGCTAGCGTTTTAATGCCTTCATGGACTTGGAAATCTAAAAGAAAAATGTCGAATCTTTTCACAAAAAAAGTAAGTATCGTATTTAATAAACTCTTCTTTATATTATACTCTCTATTAATGTTTATGATTTTTCTTCAAACTAATATCGTTAATTCTCTATAAGTAAGTCCGTTTGATGAGAATAATTGTGCGGGTCGTGTTTTTCTATAAACCTTTTTGAATGTAAGTAGTAAATTTAATTTTCCTTGTACGATAAAATCGGATATACTAAAAGTTGCATTGTCTTTTCGAAAAACTATTTAAAAAATTAATTCGCTGTCTTTTGTTTAGTATTGAAACGAACGAATATAAAATTCTAGCTTGTTCAATATTAATGTTATGCTGTCTTACTATAAAAAAAATATTTGAAAAACTATTAAATTATTTTTAATGTCTGTCTTTTATTATTATTTCAATATGACGTACTGTATATTGGACAACTACGTAAACAACTGTCCTACATATAATATTTCATTGAAAGGGTTTAGCCGGATACGTATGACGAGTCGGCCCCCAAATGGGAATCGATATTGAAACTTATGTTTTAATATAGACTTGATGTTCAAACACGATTTATGTACTTTTCGCGACCGACTTCCGCTTTGACCTTGAGATAGAGAGCAAAATATCCGTATGCTTGACTATTACTGAATGTGATATATCTCTGAAGCTAATTAAGATAAAGAAGTGAAACTAACGCGAGGTGTTAGGTTACATTACAGAGTATATCACATATATTTTTTTATAATTTTTAGAATAAAAAATGACATTAAAAAAATAAAATAAAAAAAAACATGCTTTTTTTTCTGAGTTCTCTGTGACTTACAATCACGAAATTAATATATGTTATGCTCCTTTGTGTGCTCTATCACCCATAAAAATTGCGTGAAAAAAAAGTTGGTGCAACACAACGAAAAAAAATTATATGTGATTCGCGCCTTGTAGTGTGAGTGTATAAACAAACAAGTTCGAACTTGTTATCGAGCTGTTTACTGCATCGTTTGTTTAGCTAAAGTAGCAGTCATTTGTATTACACAAGAAGGCAGTTTGGGACTCAAATTCTGTCATAGGTATTTTGTATCAGCATTTTGAAATTATTAACTATCGAACCAAATCATTATTAAGAATTATGTCGAGAAAGTGTAAAAATTGTAACAAGTACCTGTGTAAGATTCCTGGTTATAAAAAAAATATAAAGAATGAAGAAGAAGCTAAAGTGTTTAGTGACTGTTTGAATAAAATCGTAATAGTTAATGATATTTTTTGTAAGAAGTGTCGACTTATCCCATATATTAACAAAAAAGCTTCTACTTCTAAATGTGCAGCATTTAACTTGGCCGAAATAATGGACGATCAAAATAATCTCTCAGTACAATATGTGAAATCAGCACCTAATATCATCAAAGCAGAAGTAAAATCAAGACATATAAATAGAAAAGTCTATCGAATTTACATTCACTATATTTCCGAAGGTAATAACTACAATAGTATTCTTCGTTATTGCTGTTCTTGCCCCAATGGCAAACGTACAGTGGGATGCTGTTCTCATGTAGCAGCTATTATTTATTATCTATCATATGGATGATATTTGTCCAAAATCGTACGTCCTGCTGAGGTCCTAACTAAGTTATTTGCGACTCAAAGTGTTCCGATTGTAATTAATTACAACAGTGACGATGATTAATATTTTGTTTCTTGTATTTTGATAGACACGAAAAAGTAATAATAATAAGTATTGAACACTGGCTGTTTTTTTTTTCATTTCTTTTTTAACTATTATCCCATCTCTTAAGACTAGTTACTTATGTTTTAAAACAAGCTGATGTGAAATTTCGAAAAAAAAAACAATGATGTAATGTGAAAACCTTATAATACAGGGGTATACCATAAGACAGAAATCACATATAATTTTTTTTCGTTGTGTTGCACCAACTTTTTTTTCACGCAATTTTTATGGGTAATAGAGCACACAAAGGAGCATAATATATATTAATTTCGTGATTGTAAGTCACAGAGAACTCAGAAAAAAAACATGATTTTTTTATTTTTTATTTTTTTAATGTAATTTTTTATTCTAAAAATTATAAAAAAATATATGTGATATACTCTGTAATGTAACCTAACACCTCGCGTTAGTTTCACTTCTTTATCTTAATTAGCTTTAGAGATATATCACATTCAGTAATAGTCAAGCATACGGATATTTTGCTCTCTATCTCAAGGTCAAAGCGGAAGTCGGTCGCGAAAAGTACATAAATCGTGTTTGAACATCAAGTCGATATTAAAACATAAGTTTCAATATCGATTCCCATTTGGGGGCCGACTCGTCATACGTATCCGGCTAAACCCTTTAACATAGCTTTGGTGACTGATATGGGCTGGTGATCGGGTCTAGAAGAACTGTGGGTGAGTATGTGTATAATTTTCAAGTTACTAACATGAAAAAAATATTTAAAGGTGGGGAGTGATTTATTAAAAATTCTGAAATATGTATTTTATTATATTATTTAGGAGGCCCTATTTCAATTTTTAGACCTCTAACATAAAAATTTACGGAAGTCTCACACAAACACTCGTTCTAGTTTAAGGGGGTACCTTGTATTATAATTTTTCTGTTGTTTATGTCAAATTACAGTATTGTATTTTGACCTATATATAAAAGGGATTAAGGTTTAACATTAAGTGGGCAAAATTGACAGTTTTATATACATCTCAACATGGATATCAACAAATTTCTCAATTCCAAGAACTATGCAATTGAAACAATAAGTCTATTATTAAGTTTTTATTCCAAGAATTATGTTTATCTGATATATTAGATCCCAAGTTGAAAAAATGACGGTTCATGAAATGGATGAAGCGCTTCAAGAAGTGTTTCACTCGTCTTGGCAGATCACAACCGTGGCCCTAGATTTATTTACAGCACCTTTGAAAAGCTTAAACTTAAAGTTATTTCAAATAAAATAAATCCATGATACTGTAAAACATTTATTTTGATTAATTTAGCAAATTTTCTTTAACATGTGTTTTATTATATAAAAAAAAAACAGATTAAGAGATTCTCCGCTTTCTTATATATATTCTACATTCATAAAATATTATTTTGATATGATATTTGAAATTTACAGTATTTCGACATTTGAAACCAGACAAGTAGGTGCTATCAAAGTCTATTTCAAGTGTTCTAAATGAAAATATTAATACCGAAAAAAAAGATAGAAATTATCCTTTTTTCGGTAAACAGCTCAAACGAACAGCTTAATGTTGGGTATATTTACCAGATGTACATTTGTTATCTAGTAATCTTTTTTATGTCAATTTACTCATAAATAACTTAGTGAAACCAAAAATAAATAATCATAAAATAATTGATCTTTTAATAAATGTCTTGTTCAACAGTAGTGTTATTAGATGATTTAAATATAAAAAATCCAATTTATGTTACTGATACATCATTTGCATAAAAATAAACTTTGATTATTATTTATATATATCATACTTTTTTGCATAGATACTACTAATTGAATTGATCAATCTCGAATTGCATTTCAAGAGGTTTGATATTATTTTTATTCTTAACAGGATCCAAACGATCGGTTTCTAAATTGAGAATTTAAAGATAGAACGTCTTAAACTGCACTTAAACTGCACTTAAACTGCACTTAAACGTCACTTAAATAGTTTTCGTTTCTGTTTTCATTCTATAGCAGTTTGATAAAACTATGATGATTTCGACTGTGAAACATAAAAAGCTTAAGTTATTGAGAATAATCAGTTGAGATTTTGTACTTTTTTCAATTCAGAAACCGACTGAAAGTCTTTGATATTAAAACGTTAGTTTGTAGTTTAATCAAACTCGCTTTAGGACTCAAATCCTTTTAAATCTTCAAATTATGACTTAATAGATTGAGAATCACTGACGAAACATCAAATTTAACTACACAATGTTTATATCACAATTCGGTGTAAAGGTTTTTCATCACGTCTCCAAGATCTTATTTTTTCTTCTGTTCACAAACACCCAGATACCTTCTATGGACCAAGGTATGACACAGCAAAGATTGCACACTGTCAGCATATTGAAGGCTATCACATAACTGCCTGTGTAATCTCTTATGAAACCTGAAATTCAGAAACAGTTCGATTCATAAATAGATATTGGCAGGTATATATGTACATTTATAATGATATTAAAAAACAAGAAGAATTATTTTGTGTTTATAATTTCATACTTAAAAGCTAATGAACCAATTTGAAAATAGTTACACGAATATCAAAGTCACATTATCACCGATCAATATAACCTACATTTTAGCTACGTATTAAGCTATATTTCATTTAGGTATTCATTATAACACGGGAACAAGATATATAACAAACAACAAATAGCCTTGAAAGGTAAAAATAGCCTTGAAAGTATTTAGCACATACTTAAAAGTATATACTAAAAGTAAAGATTATTGTCTTCAGCTCCTCCAAGCTTTGAAAGGCGTGTTAAGTCGTTAATCTCAATAGCATGTGTCGTTTAAATCCATCAAATAGCTCTAGGCCCGCGTAAGGGGTTATGGTTATAGCTTATGCTTCCTATTTGATTTCAATCACAGGAAAATCCTGTGCCCTTTCGGGAGTATTAACAGGACGATAATGGTGAAGCTTATTCGTCATAAAAATATCAGACATGTGTCATTACAAGATCCAATTTCTCTACTAGTTAGTAGACCAAAGAACAGCAATTGAAACATATGACAGTTGGTTTAGTACTCAAGATTATAAAAACTTTGGTCATCTTAATGATAAATAAATGAAAGAACTTAAGGAATTAATATTTACAATTAAAGAATGATAAGTTTTTACCTATCATAGGTCCCACTGATAGGCTGAGAGCTCCAGCTAACAACATATACAATCCATAAGCTGGTGGATATCTCTCTATCGGGACATGTTCCGCCATCACTATAGGTTGTGCAATGTGCACCAGGGACCTTAACGATCCAAGTATACCAGTCAGTATCAACAAAGGCGTGTAAGTTGTGAATGACACGAACACTGTAACAAAATTAATAATTAATATATGTGAAGAAGTTTGAAAGTAGCATAGAAAAGCTGATAGGAAAGCGTTTGGCTTGGTGTGGACATATTTGATGGACCTGGAAGTTAATAGATAGAAGGGTAAACGAAGATCACAGAAAATATGGATAGGCTATGTGAGGAATGTTATGAAAGCAATGGGAGTGAAGAATGAGATGACAGCTAACAAAGCAAAATGGATGAAGTGAATACTACTGCGCTAATCCCAAATAACTGTAGTTGTAGCTCGGTGGCGTAATGGATTAGCGCCGCGGCCCGCGATTGTAGCCGTTAAGCAACTTTCGCAAGGATCGGTCACGGGATGGGTGACCAAAAAAATTATTTTCTCGAGCTACTCTGCTTCGGAAGGCACGTTAAGCCGTTGGTCCCAGCTGCATTTGCAGTCGTAAATACCCTCCAATCCGCATTGGGCCAGCGTGGAGGGTCATGGCCCATCCTCCTTAACCATCCATAAGGAAGGCCTGAGCCCCTGCAGTGGGGACGTAAAAGGGCTGATGATGATGATGATGATGAATCCCAAATAAATTATGACCAGACAAAGAAGATGATTTTAGGAAGAATAAGTAAAATAATTAAAAAAGAAAACAATAGCTTAGTTTACTTATAAATAACTATTATTTCTTCCTTTATTAAAAAAAAAATATTAAAATACGATCTCATCAAGTGATACAAAATACTCATGTATCGTCTGTTACGTATACGTGAATTTTAAAATACAACCCGACCAGGACGCTAGAAATCCCAAAAACCAGGATATGTTCTTCTAAATAAAGACCTTTGGCAAATCTATGGTACCTAACAGCACTCGCCAGTAACGGCGTTAGACTAGTTTATATCTGTTCAAGCACATATGGAATCATAAATATGATAAAAGCAAACATTATTTTTCAGTGTTTAAGCTTTTAGCTTATAAATTTTGCTATTAATGGCTGGGTATTTTATTTTACCACCTCAAGTAGTAAAACTACATTCACACTGAAATGAATTAACCACAGAAATAGCTATAAAAATTGAGACAACAAACACTTGCCTATTCTAAACACAGCGGTGAGAAGAGCACCCGTGAAAAACATGTGCCGACTATTTATTTTAAAAAATTGTCCAGATACGCCTAGTAAAAGTCTCGCTGACATATCAGTAGCTCCGCCGATTGCAATGACATTTGCTATCTGGGCCTGTAAAAAATCATAATTTAATATTTAACTAGAGTTGCCAACCGGCCTGTTATGACAATCTTTTTAATAGAACGTCCTAGATTTTATAAGGTGCCTTGATACTCGTTAGGTAATTTCAAGTAATTTCAAGTGGTGGTTTTTCAATGCGCGGTGGGGTAGAATTTGAATTGCACTGGATTTCCAATTTTACGTCCTACTTTTCGAATGTTCGATTGGCAACCCTACTATGAAAATATATAACAAAAATAAAATCAAATAAATAATTTACGCAAAAGTAAAAGATAATTACGCAAATTATTTTTCTTTTTCGAAATATCTTTTTAATAAAAGAAAAGTTATTCTAAAAGAGACAGTTATACATGTGTTAACGGCTCTTAAGTAATTTTCTAATAACTTTAAGTATAATTGTGGTGTTTAATACCCTACTTTTACGTCATAATATTTGTTTGTAACTTCTTGTGTTGATTCAGTGTTGATAACATCTTTCAGAAATAAACTTAGTCTTATATTTATTGAGGAAATATAACATACTACATAGATATGAAGCCATCATAATTATAATTTATGTAATTGATCTTTAATAATGTATCTAATTTAACTGTATCGATTATATAAACTTACCCTGTTAAGATGGTTTTTATCCAAGAACAATGGCTCGAGAGTGAAAAATGTTAAATCCGCAAAGAATGCTAACGCCATTCCGAATATTATATTGTCGTATACCCAGTCCTTAAGTAGTGTCAAATCCAAGAATTCAGCAACTGTTTGCCTGTAACAAACATTATTAAAAATATCATAATAATCCTTACGATTGAGAATATGACACATATTATAAAGTATCTTCTAAACAGGTTCTTAAATATGTTTAGGATATTTTACATCATTCAAAAACCACATCTTCTAAAATTTACAGTCAACGGTATAGTCATAAATTTCTAACAAAAGAATAGTCAACTTTAATTGTTAGGTATTTTAGCATTAGCATTATTTCATTATTGTAAAGATTCTTGAGGGTTAAATAAAACCCATTGCTCTCATTCTCGCGATAGATCCGACCTCTTTGCACTGTATAATGTTAACCTTTTCTCTTATTTAATTCAAATAGTTGCACTGAAGTTTTTTCGCATCTCATTTACCTTCTCTACGTCTATTTTATAAAAGAGCTATTTTTTTATATCGATTGCTTAGATTTTCCCGCACACTATCCATAAATGAATCAACTTGATGTTTCGGAATCTTATGTAAACTACGAACCTGTACAGGGTCCGAAACGTCAATAAAACTAAATACAAACGCGATGAAACCATTTAAAAGTTGTTTCAGATTATTTTTTAGTTCACTAATAACAGTACCTCTTCATTGGTTTTCGGTTTTGTACATAATCTTTTCAATCTCCCCCAAAATCACACCTTACACGCTTATAATAGTTCCATTATATCGATGGGTTAATATTCAGAAACGTGTTGTACAAACGATATGCTGCACAATAACAATATTAATTAACATAAACAATAATAATATTATATTAGTAGACCTGAGTAGCTCGGTAGCGTAGTGGATAAGTACCGCGGCTTGCGATATTAGTCGTTAAGCAACATTCGCTAGGGTCGGTCACGGGATGGGTGACCAAACAATTATTATCTCGAGTTACTCCGTGCTTCGAAAGACACTTTAAGCTGTTGGTCCCGGATGCATTTGCAGTCGTTAATACCCACCAATCCGCATTGGGCCAGAGGATCATGGCCCATCCTCCTTAACCATTCATAAGGAAGGCCTGAGCCCCTGCAGTGGGGACGTAAAAGGGCTGATGATGATGAGATCTTTATGAGACAATGTTTGATCTTTTATATAGCTTAGATATAGCTTTTATAACTTGTATAGTTGTTTTTTTTTTCCTATTAATATTCTTATAAAATAGATATCTAACGTTTGCAAATATATTTTAAAAGCTATTAACTAATTAATATTTGAAATGGTTAATATTACATGATTTATATCATATCAATCAAAAATAATTATTTTGACCCACTGGTATGTCACTGTTAATTTGTAACAAATTGTACAAACAACGATACAACCTGATAAACATAAATACCTATAGAAACCGTACTTGACCCTTTATTATCACGACATGGCGTAACATCGTAGTGCCCTGTACTCTATGCATATCATACTGGTGATAAGTTGAATCATGGCCCTACCACAATTACCAAAATGCAGTGCAAAAGTCTCTACAGATCATACAGCCCCTGATAGGTATTTTTAAATTCTATCTTTTTTATAAGAAATTACTTGTCACTTGTCTCAAATGATTTCACGTGTGGCATGTATTTTAAAGAAAATATAACTAAGGATATCTTATCTACTTCAGTTTAATTTCTGATTTCAAGAAAGGCCTTGCCTTGAAGAAAAGCCTTATGAATGAAAATTTTATCGGGAAATAATTTGTTTTTTAATATCTAAACTATTTATAAGTATACGATATCATTTACATTATAAGATACATTATCTTCACAATAAAAATCGATTGAATGATTCGCATCCCAATATTCGTAAAATCTCTAAAGATAGTAACTAAACCTCCAGTCTGATATTATTTCAGTGTTTCTAACTAAATATATGGTTAATACCGAGACATTTGCTAGAGATAACAAGATTTGAGAACGTATATTTGTATGTGGCGCATACAGTATCTTACAGTATCTTGCAAATACAATATTTATGGAGCTAACAAATTACAGTAACTACAATAGACTACCGAAAACTAATATGATTTTATTAAATATGAGAGAAAAAAAAAATTTTTTACGAAGTGCCAATCTTGTAATAAATTATTAATTCTTACCATTTTCCTTCCTTATTTTTGATAATGGGCATTGGTTCAGCAACAATATTACCGAAATTTCCGAGGCTTGACACAGAAGCTGCCTTGTAAAGATTCTCAAGATACACTGAATCGGTTGAATTGAATTTGCTTTCTACTTTATCAGCAGGAATTAATACTATAGGGATGCTTAATCTCCTGAAATATAAAATAAAATACTTGATATTGCACGACAAGAAATAACAGAATACAGGGGAATATGTTCGGTATTAATGTAGGTAAAATTATATTAAATATAGTTAACAACTTAAGTTAGAGTCATGTGGGTTGAGCTAGTAATCAAAAAAATAAAACACGGGAGCGCCAACTTCATACTTCAGTACCACTGAAAAATAGTACGCAACGCTCAATTTAATTTAATAATTTATCAGCACTTATAATAGCACTTTTAAAACAGGAAAACGTTAAAAATGAATCAACGTCGCTTAACAGACATGGGGTAAGTTTGTACTAATACAAGTAGTGTTATCTAAATTCATATATTTTTTTTATTGTTTGCAATGAATAAGTTATAAATATACAGGATCGATTTTAAAAAAATATTCATACGCGAGTAAGCGGGTAAACAGCTAGAAAAACCTGCTGATAAATGAGAGAGTAACAAATCTGAAAAACTTTAGGTACAATCTGTAATAATAAATTTTCAACGCGCCAGCCCTACCTGGAGTCTAATTTAGGCGCTAAAAGCAATTCGGAGCCTTTCCGATTTCCCGTGCGATCGGTCGAACACAAATTTTCTACTGATCTCCCGTTATCCGCCACGCTGACTCCGATATCGTTTTTGGCGAAATTGAAAGTATCCGTTGGCACCTCCACGGCTGGTGTGGGTGGTATCACTGGAAAATCATAAATAATTTATGACGTTAACTGTTGAAACGTTAACAATAATGTTTACCTACATGTAAAGTTATTAGATTAGATATAGCATTACATAAGCGTCGTATAGCTAGTAATTTATTTTTTCTTTTACACAGAATAACCAACCTCAATGTCCTAAACAAATCAATCCTACTAATTATAAATTTGAGTAGGATTGAAAGGAACATATTCCTTTCTATTTCAAAGGTTTAAACAGAAATGTACTGATCTATGACTATGGGTTCATTTACGTTTATTTTTCATATCTTTGAATTATAGGAATCTTTGAATTTATTATTTTGATGTATAGGTACAAAAGTTTATACCTAAGTAAGTGTAAATTATTCACAGTATTCACTTTTCTATGAGCCTAAACCTACGATGTAATGTAACAATGGAACCATTTGTGTGCTTATCCCATTTAATAATTCGCTGTTTAGACCGCCTTTGTCGTAAAATGTTATGTGCCGAGTACCATAAAGTAATTAAGAATGGAGGGGGGGGGGATTAAACATTATCTCGTGTGCCAAGCCATTTGCCACTCTAAAATGTTCCGCAAATTATACTTTTAAAAGTAATATCAGAATAACCTGGCAATTAGTCTGGCAAAAGACGCAAAAAGAAAAATCTATAGTTTGCTTTCAAAGTATATTAGATGGAGAGCTCGTAACGAATTTTATTTTTTTATATATACAAGTTTCTCGCTAACTTTTTATTATTACGAGTAATTATTACATCGACTTAACTAATATTTACAAAATTTCCTTATCGTATAAAATATATTTTTATACCATTATATAACAAAAAAAAAAACTATTAGGAATATAATTAATAAGTTTTTATCTGCTTATAATTTTAATTTATTTACAAATATAAAATTTACGCTTATAATAATTGCTCATTCCACTCTTTATGAAATATTTTCCTTAAGTATTAATAATAAAACTCCACTTATAAATAAGACAAACAAATAAAAATTAGTCATCGATTAGTCTCGAGCTAGTCCGTGCTTTGGCACGATCCGGCATTGTGTCCCTGCTGCATTTGCAGTCGAAACCCTCCATTCCGTATTGGACGTTACAGGATTGATGAGGAATATTTATGTCCTAGCTATAAAAACCATATAATTTTACCTAAAGAAATTGCTTATAAAAAATAAAAACTTACGTATAATCTTTTCCACTGGCTTGGGCTGTTTGATCATATGCCATTTGACGGGATGCATGACAACAGCACCAAATATACTGTGCGCTGATATGGCACAGAGTATTGCCAAAGTTCCTCTAAATCCATATTCGGTCATTGTGAATTTAATGAATAGTGGGTAAATCATCGTTATCAATCCAATAGAGGCTTTACACAAACTTAAATAAAGCACCTTTTTCTTTGTGAAATAGCTGTTAAAACTTGTATAGGATACTGGAATGAGAAGACCCATTCCTAACCCTTGGAGGAAACCATTCGTTATGATTAGTTGTGTCGTCGACACAACAAATATTGCTAGAAATGATGCTAGTGTATAAATAGAAGCTCCTATGAGGCCCACTTGTCTTAAAGACAACCTTTTTAAAGCTATATTCGCCGAGAAACCTGCAACAAAAATATACTGTTTATTTTCTATACCATTATTAAATTTAGCATCTATAAAGGCTAAAGATCACCCAGCGGGCAATGGAGAGAGCAATGCTTGGTGTATCCCTGCGTGATCGAATATGAAACGTGGATTTCCGTAGGAGAGCTAACGTAATTACATTGCTCGAAAAACTGCTCAGCTGAAGTGGCAGTGGGCGAGACACATAACGAGAAGAACTGATGGCCGTTGGGCGAAAAAGTTTTCGAATGGCGACCATATCCCGGGTGGCGGGTAGACCCCGAACCCGACGATGTAATAAAAGTCGCGGAACAGCGACTTTCGGTCATGCAGGCAGCGCAAGACCATTCGTCGTGGAGATCCATGGGGAAGGCCTATGCCCAGCAGTAGGCGTCGAACGGCTAATGATGATGATGGTGACGATGGATTGCACACGTTATGGTCTACCGGAGAGGTATACCTGTGCAGGTAGAAACTGAAATTGGAACGTGTCAATAGACCTCTGCATCTTTTTACCGGTGGGAGATCTTGTACTGAGAAGAACCAGCAAGAGATTCACCAAGGGCTGATTTTTATTTCTACAGGCGGTACATAACATACTTACAACCAAAACATGTATAATCCCTTTGGGTGATGACAATATTTTGATTAATTTAGAACGATAAATATTAGGATTTAAATGGGGGTATTTAAATGGGATAGCGATGATAACTATTGCCCTATCATTGCTATCACATTTAAGCAGATCATGACTTAAATTAGTGAAAAGATTGAGAACTAGACACAGTTATTTTGAACAAAAAATGAGTAAGCGCCATCTCTTAGGGTAATAGACCTGACTTTTAGGCACTGTCCCCTTTTCTGCACTTGGAACTTCTAAATAGGCATTACTAAATAGGCCATATGTTAAAACTATTACCGTTAAGAGCTCTCATGTGCCAAAATTCACTCGTAACTCTTAAAATGGGCAAAACTAGATTATTATTTTAAATTAGACAATGTTCCGAAATGGCTAGGTCATATGCCCTAACAAAAAGTTAAGAGCCTATACTTAGAAACAATAGAAATTACTATACGAATACGAATAACAATATTTTATTTTTTTAATTAGTAATGACAAGAGTGTGTGTTAGTGACTTTAATTTTAGCTCTCTATTAAAGGAATAACCTGCACTTAATATATTACTTACTTACTTTTGTATCTGAAAACGAAATACATTGATCCAATTCGAAAGAATCGGCCTCGAGCGCGAAGGTCGATTAGAGGTATAGATACCATATGTATGTAATTCTTACCAGCAATGGCCAAGGTCACTTGAAACACTCCATAAACAACTGTAACTGCCCCCGTTCCAACGCCCAAGTCGTCCAGAAATTCATTATAAATAAATCCAAATACCGGCTGATGTGCTGTTCCAGCAATCTGAAAAGGGAAATTTGATTTTGCATGTTGGTTCAGATGTCAAACATTGAAAGCGACTGAATAAATCAAGGAATTATTTAAACAAGTGAAATGTGAATCCAAAGAGCACCCTGAGAGCCAAAGAGCACCCTGAAATACTGAATGCAAATATAGTGTCTACCTATGTGACTAGCACATCAGGTTACAAAAGATCAAAATACAATTTTAAACTTTTATTATTATCTGAATTCATAAACGAAAATTTAAATGCTAATTGAATTTTAAGCCTTAATATAAAAAAATATTTAACTGTCGACGTTATATTATAACGAGGAAAAATCTGATTGTTTGTTTGTTATGCATCGAATAGACTTCGAAATAACTGGACCAATTTTAAAAACTCCCAGCTACTGCAAGCGATATCATATGCTGGTGAGATCAGCTGTAATTTATGCAGGCGAAGTCGCAGGATGCATGTTTTGTAAATCAATATTAGTAGTAATAAAGTTGACTGGTTGCGCTCCAATACAACATCATAGCATATATTTCGAAATTGTTTCATTTCAGATTTCGACGTGTTGATTCACGTCAACCTTTCAATTTAACGATATTTAAAAGAACAGCCAGGAGTTGTACTCTCGGAACTAGGGCCCGCATGTACTAGTTCAGGTAAACCAGCTATGTCAGATGGACGGACAGAGAGACGACCCAGTGTTTCTACATTTTTTCCATTTTTTTCCCTTTTGAAGCGTGGAACCCTAAAAATAAAGCATACCGGCAGGATAGTTCTTCTCTATAAAAATGTAACCTTTTTCAAAGAGCACTATTCTAGGGTATCTTTTATTGTACTTCTATATTTCTGGGGTATCTTTTATTATATTCTATAGTTATACCTGGCACAGAGGTCAGAGACTTCACACTGCCTTGATGATGTATATTTATATGACAATAAAGTTATTATTATTATTATTATTATTATTATTATATAATTGTATGAATAAGTAACACGAGGCGAAATATCCAAAACATTGGATACTATAGCAGATTTTTTCAGTACGATGAAATATGCATAAATTATCTCTTTGAATGACAGATTTAACACGTTTGTTTGTTGAGGCAAATACAGAGTTTTTATCTATAACTTTATTTAAAGTTAAAGTTCAACATGATAAAATATGTAAAAGAATATTTTGATTGATGTTCACATATAAATATTGACTGAATTCATCGGTCCATATAATTTATAACAGGACTTTCGATGTACACTGTATTATATTTCCAGTTATGTCCCCTTTTTCTTAATATCCTTATTTCATATTTTTTTATGGTTGATCGTAAAAGATGTCTCGTGGCCTTCCTCGGCTTTGACTTCCTTCCACTTTCTTTTCTTTGTAAAAAGAATTCCAAGTTAAAGAAATCCTATCAACCAACGTCTATAAATTGTTCAAGTCTAGAAATAAAATTCTTGCCATCCCTGAGGTCCCAGATCCGATCATCGGCCTAGTCAATTTATCCTATTTCTAAGACCTAACAAAAATTCCTTCATATGTAAAAGAACACTGTGAGTGCGTAAAATTAATAACGCGCTACAATAAAATTAAAAAATTTAAGCTTTTGTATTTTATAATAATTATAGAACTGCAGTCGCTTGCACAGATTAGTTCGTATTTTTTAAGTACCTTTATCATGATTCATGAAATTCATTTTTCGAATATATCAACAGTTTTTTTGTTGAATATGCAGTCATAAGTAGTACTTCTATTCCATTCATATTGTAACATTAGTGGTCTACAATAGTAACACATAGTAACAGACATCTATATCCGGTAGGTAATTCATTTGTTTTATTAAAAAATGGTTTTATTATTTTATTATTACGATCTTATATCGATGTTTCTCTTACTATAAAAATGATAATTAAATATAGTTTTTTTAATATATATTTTTTTTAATTCATATGAAATTTTATTAGAAACTAGCTGTTCTCGTTACTCAGCCTACATAAATATGTGAATCAATTTTTAATTTCTATTGAATGCAAACAAAATCAAATCTTACGTTTCTATAACATTAGTATATATAAATTTTATCAAGATATTTAAACTTACAAAAATAAGTGAGAGTCCAATACAGATGAGGTATCCCCAACCACCTTCTGGAGGCACATATTCATATTTTTCTTGTTCACTATCACACATACTGTCACAGATTTTTCTTTGCATCAAATTTCCTTTGTCAGACCTACCACTGCAATATTTCTATCATTCTATTCCTATATACACCACAGGTGGTCTAATAAAACCCATTTTATCGCATACTATTCAGAAAGTATTTATTTAGGAATTATATATTTTATAGTTGTTTAATTATGTTTAATCTATTATAATATACAAATAGAGGAATTGGATTTTCCATAAACACTATCGACAAACATGTGATATGAAACTTGCAAAATAATTGTAATTTAAATATACAATGGAAACGTTTTAGACTTGTTTTTGTTGATATGAGCGTAAATATTTTTGATTGATTCACCACAGAGTACTATTTTCTTTTTTTTTATTCGGTAAGCGATCGTCGATGTTTCGTTTTAAATTAGTTTTTTTTTTTTATTATCTCACACGTCGATGTCACCAGACTGACCGAAAGCAGCTGAACTACTTAATCTGTTTTATTGGTCGAAGTAGGTTCGAAACTCGGACTATCGGCCATTAATTAAGCAGATGATGAACTAATTAACTTATGTGGCAATAAAACTTTTCAAACTCCGGTTTTACTCAGTAATGACTTATACAACTAATATTTATTCCCCCATTATGGAAATGCTGTCGTTGATTATCTATTTTGTATATTACATGACTTTTTAATTTGATTAGGTAATGTTTCTTTAGGCAGAATGAATGAATAATGCATAATGCACTCCGTGTTTTTATTAAAAAATTTTGATACCTTTTTTTTGTATTCACAATGCTATACTGAAAAATATTATTTTTGAAAAATTAAAAATCCATTTTGCCTCTGGCACTTTGTGATGGGATTCGAACCCATGACCTTTTCCAATCCGGGCGGCTGCTCTAACCATTAAGCTATCCAGAACCTAATAGGAATATATTTCAGTATAATTTTGTATTTTTTCAAAATTATAATTTTATTATTTTTCAGTAAATTAATTTTCAGTAATTTTGATCAAATATAATAATTTGAACAAAATTTTCATCTTTTTCCAAAGTTTAAATATTTGTAAAAAAATATTTCTGCGGTTGATTGCTTGAACATTTATGAAAATACGCTCTGTAGTAACGACAAATTGTTTTAAAAATTCATCAGTCTTGTTTGATCCTGGGTAGCTTACTGTTCAGAGCAGTCGCCCGGCGGTTAAGCCGGCTTAACGTGCCTTCCAAAGCACGGGGTAACTCAAGATAAAATATATATATATATATATATATATATATATATATTTTTTTTTTTTTTTGCCTATCCATGCCGTGACAGACCCTTACGAAAGTTGCTTAGCAAGAACGATCGCGGGTCGCTGTGCTTAACCACTACGCCACCGAGCTACTTATACCTATACTCCATACCACGATGTAGGTTCCATACCATGGCTTAACTTTCTATTGTCGGGAGCAAAGAACTACCTACATTAATTCTATTTGATTGTAATCAAAACTTTTTATTTGCGTTCGTGCTTAGATATTCTAACAAGGGTACTTAACAAAGTTTAAGTTCTATTTCGCTGCTAGCAGAGTTGCGATAGCTTTCCATTATATTATTTCGGGCTAAGGAAATATTTTATAAGTTGTTCGATTGAAACAAAAATGATTTTTTTATTATTTTTTAGTGAATTTTGATTTACCTTTCATATAAGAAAAACATTCAGAATAGCAACCGGATCGAGTTATATACTGGATTCGAACCAGCAAATAATCGCTAAAAGAATGGTGAGTGGGGATTGCAAATTGCCTTATTGGCGGCTAATTATATAATTTTAAATTTTTTTACAAGCCCCATTCAAAGGTATAGCGATTAGTGAAGTTATATTGCTTTTAAGGTGAACGTCCATCTGTCAACACTCTCACATTGACAGACCGCACAACACGCAACGGTTTATATTAAAATTGTTTTGACCGCATAAGCAGAATTCCGACGTCAAAACTGACAGTCGCATTTTTCATAGAAGCGACTGCAATGGACTTATCAATATGCGTGTTTCTTGAGGCAGTGGACGAGCACCTATAAAGTCGTAATATCTTTTAAAACAAATGATGATTTGAATGATCAAGAAGCATAATAAAAACTTATATCTCAATTTTAAAATATATTTGCGTCTAACGCTTGCTAATAGCATTAAAGAAATCGTTCATTAAATGTCCTTCATATTTCAAAATCACATGTAAAATTTTTTTAGCATAAAGTTTGCGAATATCTCTCAAATGTCAAATTGAAAGGGGTTGTGATAGATTTTAAAATTAATCAATTAGCCTGTAAAGTCGCAATTAAAATGTATTTTTTTTTACCATCACCAATGTAGCTTAATTAAGCACCTTACAAAATGTACAGCAATATATCGATTATCATACCCGATTTGTTGAATAGCTATTTTTGGCTTATATAAGATGTTGACATTAAACATTAATTAACCTTCAAATTAATCATGGCACAAAGTTTCATCAATGAAAATTTTCATTCATCTCTCATATAAATTATGTTCAAATTAATTAATTCCTATATTTGTTGTTTTGACATCTCATTAAATATAAACTAATTTAAATTGATTTTATAGGCCAAAATTAAACTTTTGTGAGTCTTAATTGAAGCTATATTCCATCCATCATCCATCCAACTAGTACATTTATTTCATATAATAGGTCAAAGTACGCTGAAAATTGCAAAATTTTTAAGGTCTCCTATTGTCTAATAAGCTTTAATATTATTATTATTTTTATTTTATTTCGTCTTACAAAACTGATTACAATCAAAAATATAAAATATAAAATTTTTACAGAAAATAATCTGGATTATAATCTTCTAGATGTAAGTGCAACATGCATGCGTGGTAGACTAAAATTATTTGCAAAGAGTATGCCTCGTAAGCATGGCGGGGTGCTTTTATGGGGTTCTAGATTTTTTTCTTTTTCGTTATTGGTAAAAGTACATAGCAAATTGTAAAATGCACACAGCAAGTTGCACAAATATACATTTAAATTTTAATAAGTTTAAAGCGATATTGGCCATACAAAATTGACATTAGAGCTTAAAGGCATCATTAAACCTAATGGATGTTTGTGCAACTGACCGATTGTATAGTTTTGGTACAACTAATGAGTCACAATAAAGAGAAGTTTATTAATTAAAACAACAACTTTTTAATGTTCCTTTAACATAACTGAGTTTATTATGGTTTCAAATTATACGAATTGTCATTTGTGACCTGAATATTTCTGAGGTTATTCTAGAAACTTCTTCGACCGCACTGATTTGTGCGATGTAATCAATTAACGTTAGCAGGACCTCCTATGGTCGTGACATTATTTTCTCGGGAATAATAAGGTCTATAATTAATTGATCTATCAACAAACATTCACCCATTATCGCTATTGTAGTCTCGTGGTATACTTTGGCTTGTCAATTTTCAGCAAATGTTGCGCAAGTTTTTATTTAATTTTATCACTGACTATTTTTAACGTAAAATTTATGATCAATAAAGATAAAAGCGTGAATTACAAATAAATGGTTCGATAAAAAACCACATAATTACCCCGAGTCGTTATTTAAAAATGTACATTTTATTTACATTAGGCTATTTAATATTTATAAGTTACATAAGAATAGCTGTGTTGGTCTTCTATCGTCTGCCGTTGTTTTATTAGACTAAGCTTTTACGAATTTGGAATCCTTTTGCAGTTTATACATATACTAGTTAACTGGTTAAATCACGATACGAACACAATTATAAATTTTTAAATTTCATAATCAGCCCTTTTACGTCCCCATTGCAAGGGCTCAGGCCTTTCTTATGGATGGTTAAGGAGGATGGGCCATGACCCTCCACGCTAGCCCAATGCGGATTGGAGGGTATTAATGACTGCAAATGCACCCAGAACCAACGGCTTAACGTGCCTTTAGAAGCACCGAGTAGCTCGAGATAATATATTTTTTAATCAGAATTAAGCTTACTTCGTATTAAGGGGAATGTTCTCTCCAAATTTCAAGTTTCTACGACCAGCGGTTTGGTCTGTGCGTAGTCTGTCAGTCAGTAAGTTAGTACATCTCCTTTTATATTATATAGATTATAAAGAGTAGAGGTTTGATTGTTTGGACAATCCAAAGAGGTTTGTAATGGACTTAATATTGTCACAATAGCATACAGCCTGTATGATACAGGTGTGTTTCTTTTATGAACCACGCCCATAAGTCATTGTTTTAGGTTATTATAATTATAACAGGTAATTATTACTATGAAGAAAGAGCATTGGTAACATTCCCTGGTATAATCAATATTTTACTCGCTTTTTACGTCAGATTTAAATTAGATTTTAACGACTCACAGTTAAAAAATCAAATAGTCAGTTCCTTAGTTAATTGCTAAGACAATTGATACGTTTATTTACTTTAAAAATTTGTAATTAAGGAGTTGCATCATATTAAATTACTGTGTCACTTAGTGTTTTATCAATCAACAAAATAC